GAGTGAAAATGATTTTGAAAATAATTTAAATATGCAAAAAGATAATGTTAATGAAAATAACATTGTACTGAATAGTGGTAAGTTTTTATTTATGAAATTATTAAAAAAGAAATATAATTTAATTGATGTAGACAATTCCAAATTCAGTAAATTTTATCATAATTACCTATTATAAATTAATTATTGTAGTATCTATATTCTATTGTGCAATTTAACTCAATATTTAACTCTTAAAAGTTGTATTTTAATGATTGTATTAAAAATTAAAATTTTAGATTTGTCGAGTGAAAATGATTTTGAAAATAATTTACATATGCAAAAAGATAATGTTAATGAAAATAACATTGTACTGAATAGTGGTAAGTTTTTATTTATGAAATTATTAAAAAAGAAATATAATTTAATTGATGTAGACAATTCCAAATTCAGTAAATTTTATCATAATTACCTATTATAAATTAATTATTGTAGTATCTATATTCTATTGTGCAATTTAACTCAATATTTAACTCTTAAAAGTTGTATTTTAATGATTGTATTAAAAAATTAAAATTCATTAATATTAATAAAGTTTATTTATAATTTATTTTTTTAATATATTGTAACTTTAACGTAATAAGTTACACATGTAGGTTTACACCTACTTAACAAATCAACTTGAAGCTTACTTAATTTTGTAGGTTTGGAAATTAAATTAAATTTTTATGAATAGCTTATTTAATAGTTAATCATTTTTAGGTAATGAATTATCTTCAACTATTAAAATTATAAACTCATTGAAAGAAAATACTGTTGAATCGTCTAATATGGAATCAAATTTTGGTAAGATTGGAATTTATTTTCAAAGTTTTTATTTATTCAATTATTGTAAATTGAAGTGTTACTTTTATAAAACTTGTAATTTAAGTAGGTTCTCAAAATAAAAAAATGAAAAATTTAAGTTATTATACCTACCTAACTTAATTTTTTGTATAATATCTCATTTTTTATAAAAATATGTATTAAAAAATTGTTTGTAACTAAGAATTTTAAATTTATTTGATAACTATTGCTATTCATTCTTTTAGAAAACGGCAAAATCCAATCACACAATTCTATTGAAAGCAATGTGGACTTTAATAACTTAGGTATGTTTTATTTATAATATAATATTTGATTTCGTATCTGGCTAATTGTTAAATAAACTAACTATATTTTTAATGCTTAAAGGTACTACCTATTTTGCCCACCACTATTTATATTTATAAATGTAGAACTATTTTTATTAAATTTTAGAGTTGATCAAATGCAAATACTAAGACAATTTAATCGTACTCCCTAGTCTAATCAATTTCACTATCTACTGATTTATATCAAGAATTAATTTTATATTATTTTTTAAATGTTGAATATTAAGGTGCCATATAGATTTTTCTCAATTAATTTAAAATTTGTAATTAGGCAATTTATTAATATAATATAAAAAAATTAATTTAGTCTTTATATTTAATTTACCATTATAGGTATTTCTGATGATTTTTCTTTGGATTTAAATTGTGAATTTCCGACTGATCGTGGAAAGTTTCCTGACATTATTAAAAATTCCAATTTAAAAAGACAAATAATTTCGTTTGGTCCTTGTAAACCAAATATAAAATTTCCGCTTAGTACCAGCAAAGACAGCATAAACCGAAAATTTTCTGTCGAATATTATTTTACTACAAATTTGTCCGGCCAAAAAATACCTCGAGGCTGGCTCTGTTATTCTATTATACTTGACAAAGTATATTGTGAATCGTGTTGGTTGTTTGCGGATAGAAAACATTCTTATTTCAAATCAAATTGGATAAACGGAATTGACGATTGGCAACATTTAACACTGAAAATTAATAAACACGAATCATCTATTCAGCATATTGAAGCTGTTAAATTACGTACAATTTGGACAAAAAATTTAACAATAGATCAATCAATAGAAATTTTAATATCTAAAGAAGCTCAGAAATGGAGGGATATTTTAACTCGTTTGATAAAAATAATTTTATTTTTAACAGGTGGAAACACTGCCCTTCGAGGCAATGAAAGAAAATTGTCTGAAACTAATCCATCTGAAGGAAATTTTATTCGGGCTGTTAGACTTCTTGCTGAGTTTGATCCTGTGTTAAATAGCTTACTACTCACTGAACAATCACGAGTTAAATATTTGAGTTGGAAAATTCAAAACGAATTAATTGAAATATTAGCTACTAACTTGCAACAGTTGATATGTGAAGAAATCAGATCAGCTCAATGTTTCTCTATCATAATTGATTCTACGCAAGATATAACCAAGATTGACCAAGTCAGTTTTATTTTTCGGTACACAATTGTTGATTATAAAGAATCTAAGTTAGAAATCAAAGAATCATTTTTAGGATTTTACCCCTTAGATAAACATGATGCTGAAGGACATGTTAATTTAATTAAAGCAGTTTTAAATACTCACAACTTGGATATTAGTAAATGCAGGGGCCAAGGTTATGATGGTGCCTCTGTAATGAGTGGTTGTTTCTCAGGTGTTCAAAAAAGAATTTCAGACATAATTCCTAATGCGTCATTTGTTCATTGTGCTGCTCACAATTTAAATCTTGTGTTATCAGATATGGCAAAAAGCACACCAAAAATGTTAAATTTTTTTAACATTGTTCAAGATTTATTTTTATTTTTTAGCAGCAGTGCTCCTAGATGGGCAACTTTGGCCTTAGGTGATGATATTGCAAAAATTGTATTAAAAAAAGTGTGTACCACCCGATGGGAGTCGAGACATAATGCAGTTTTTGCCCTGAAGTTTCGATACAAAGATGTATTAAAATCATTAACAAGTATAATTTTAACTAGTGATAAAAAAGAAGAAAAGAATAGAGCTAAAGGTCTGAAAAAAAAGCTTGAATCTTTTGAATTTGTATTAATTCTTTTTATATGGGAACAAATTTTAAGACCGTTTTATTTAGTTTCCAAGAAAATGCAATCAATTGAAACAAATCTTCATATTGCATGTGAATATTTACAATCGGCTATTACATCCATTAACAATCTAAGAGATAATTACGAGTGTCTTGTTAATTCAGCCACAGACTTGTGTAACAGTTGGGGCATACCAGTCAATAACATTAAAAAACGAAAAGTATTTTCTAAAACATTTTTCGGTGATTTAGATGGAGATAAACGATATGATATAGCACAAGATAATCTCAAAGTTAAAGTATTTTTACCTGTCATTGATACAGCTTTAGTACAACTTAAATATCGTTTTCTAGGCTTACAAGAAGTTGTTGATAAGTTTAACTTTTTACAACCACAAAATATGTTACAATTCAGTGAAGAAAATCTTGTTAAGGCAACATATGACTTTATTATATTTTATGAAAAAGATATAAGTTCAGATTTTACAAGACAAGTATTATCAATAAAAGAAATATTAACTGAATCACTCTCAAAAATCAAAACTATTAAAGAACTAGCAAAATGTATTTTAGAAAATGATTTAGGATCTCTGTACAAAGATGTTTTAACGGCTTGTGTAATTTTTACATCATTACCTGTCACAGTAGCATCAGCAGAGCGTTCTTTTTCCAAGCTCAAAATTATAAAAAATTATTTGAGGAACTCTATGGCACAAGAAAGACTTACAAATATCAGTATACTAAATATTGAACGTAACAGAACTCAAGATTTGAATATAAATCAAGTAATTGACAATTTCGCCAACAAAAAAGCTCGAAAAAAGAACTTTTTAAAATAATAATATTTTATTAACTTGTAATTTAAAATTAATAATATTTTCAAGTAAATTTTGGTTTTTTGTGTGTTAAATTGTTTTATACTTTTATGTTTACTAATATGTGTAGTGTGTACCTACCTTTTCCACTGATATAAAAAAGTACATTTTATCCGATAAGTACAATATATTATGAAGTTTTAAGTAAGTTGTACTTATAACTGTCTACTTATTTATTTATTTATTGTTATTTCAACAGGCTCTAGCTCAATGTTTTATAATATGTGTAATCCTAATTGAGATTAAAAATAATTATAATGAGTACATGTATAAATCGAAAGGAGAAACAATAAAGAAATAATATTACATTAATTTGAGGAATAGAAACAAAAATGTGACTACTAATAATATCTAGTAATACAATTACAAAAAGATTCAATAGTGTGAAAGTTTTAAAAAATTAATCTGGATAACATTAGCTAATTAAGTGGATCCATTTAAAGGTGCATTTTTATATATTTAGTTTTGTGCAAGTGATTGTGAAAGCCGAAAGGTATAAGAAGGTATTCCTGGTTTGTCATTGAGGGACATAAAAATGTATAGAACTAAGCATTTTTACACAATTTATGTAATCATTTACCAATCTATAAACAAGAATTAATAATAATAAGAATTCTTATAAATAATAATTTCAAATATAATATGTTTTTTCTGTCAGCAAGGTTGTTCATATTTAGTATTTAATATTTAACTTAAATTGTGAATGTGTGTATATATAAAAAAAAGATAGAAAAAAATTATAGACACATCTTATAAGACGTTTTATATTATTTTATTTACTAGTTCAAATATTTAATATTTTTATGATAACAATTTATGACATTCATTAATCATTAGTGTTAATGCTTAAAAATTAAGTTTAAAAAACAAGAATATTTAGAAAATAAAAAAATTGACTACTCTACAAAGCATTTTCTCTAATCAAAGTAAAAATATTTTTTAGAAAAATTATAAATATAAATTATTACGGAAATAAAATTAAGTTATGACAAAATCCCTTTAAGAGGGCCCCCACAATAAAATTTGCACTAGGGCCCCACAAAGCCTAGTTGCGGCACTGCATATGGCAGTATATGGCCATCACATTTTCTACTTGTATATTTTTTACCATTGTCACATTCACGTATTGTCCTCTTTAGAATAAATTGTAAACGCCGCAAAGAAATGAAAAAAAATATAAGTTCATAGCGAATAAAAAGAAATGTTTTTAATTTTAAAACAGCAACTATGTAATAAATAACCTAACTTCAAGTAATAATATTTCTCTTTGTCTACTAAGTAGGTATAAACTTCAAAATTCGCATGTTTATAAAACCACTACCGATAGGTCCATTGACAATAATTTTCTAGCCTGTCTCCCTATCAATTTGAATATTGTACTTTTTTATCGCACAAAGGTTGAAAGGTAAAGTATTTATGAAATAATACAAATATCATAATATTTAAAATTTGAAACATCGTGTTTATTTATAGTGTTAATGTAAATTGCTCAATCTATTTAAATGTAATCTTTATTAAAGATAAAAAAATTAATCCCCCCCTCACTAAAATTTGACTTTCTTTGTCTATGCGCCGATCAGCTGTAATATGTTTAACATTTTACTAACATTAACAATATCATATAATTATTTTTTTTTTTTTT